GGAAAACCATTCGGTGAGGGCATTTTTCGTCTTTTTTTTTATTATTATTTTGTAGGGGCCAAAACTTAGGGTTTTAGGTTCATTTGAAACCTAGAACTTATTGGAGCCAAATTTAGAGAGAGAAAGCCCCCAACAAACTAGATTGTGGTGAATTTTTTAGGATCGAAGGGTTACTCAAAGTTACTCAAACTAGATTGTTTTCTTCGTCATGGTGGTGTACTACAGTATTGGTGTAATACTATTTGATAACTTGGTTTGATAATTTTTTACCGCCCGACATTCCACCCCATAGAGCAAAGCTGGTCTCACAGCTATCCTATAGAACTTGCCCGTCATCTTCATGAAAAATATGTACGTTGGAAAATTTTAAGTTTTAATTAGATATGAAAACCTTTTTGCTTACATGTATAAAACCATAATTAGCTTTATAAAGTTTTTTTTTTTAAAGAAAAAGAAAGGAAGAAAAATTACCATCAACATTAAGTTGTTAGTTTTACAATCTACATGAATATCTTATTATTTATCAACGTATGTAAAGGGGAAATGCTACTTTCAAAGCATTCCAAGCATGATAAGATATGGAAAAAAGCACCAAAAAAAAAATCTAATTCGCATCATTAATTAGATAAAAACAACTATTACACATGTAAAAATATGTCCATGTATGTGAAAACGGAAAACAAAATTGAATCTTAGTGATTTTTTTGAGAAAACGTGACAATTTATACATGATTAGCTAAAATATATCTAGATCTATTGATATTTGTCCAAACAATTGAAGCTCAATCTCTCTTCAAATGCGATCCTCAAATCTTTGCACCTGGTGTGAATCTATCCATCCAGCTTTAGTGAAAAGTCATCATGTATCCCAAATCAAAACCCTTAGAGTAGATTTAGGATCTGAGTTTGGATCTAGTTAACCCAAGCTCTTGAAAATTCGGTGGAATGGTATTTTGGTATTCAAAATATCTTGAGTCCGAGATTCTGTGTGTTTTTTTTTTTTTGTACAAACTAAGCTTTGAATTGAATAGATAACACAAGTATAGGCTTAGGAATATTTTTTAGGGTCGATAGAGATAGGGTAGCAAAAATTTGAAGAAGTGAACTGTGGCCTATTCCTAGCTTGAAAACGTTTCGCAAATCTCATCATCGTCAAAGCCTTTTCCCTACTAATTGGAGTTGGCTACACAAATCCTCGTCCACCATTCTACTTTATTAAGGTCATACCCTCAGTGAGGCCATAAGTCCCCATATCTTCTCACTACTTCCAATCATGTCCTTTTAGGTCTACCTTTTGCACTTTCTGAGCCTTCCACTTGAACAAACTTGCACCGCCTAACAGGTGCTGTACAAGGTCTGCGCAACGCATGGCCAGCCCACCTAAATCAACTCTCTCATCTTATCGTCTATTGGTGCCATACTTAAATTTTTTGAATGTATTCATTTCAAATTCTATCGCTTCTTGTTTTGCCATTTATCCATCTCAACATCCTTATCTCCGTTACACTCATTTTATGGGTATGTTGTTTTTTTACCGCCCGACATTCTACCCCATAGAGCAAAGCTGGTCTCACAGCTATCCTAGTGTCTGGAGACTCATTTCTTTTTCGACACCTACCAAATTAAATCTCGAGGTACTCTATCATATGCTTTCTCTATATCAATAAAGACCATGTGGAGGTCTTTTCCCTTCGTCCTAAACTTCTCGATCAGTTGTCTAAGTTGGAAAATAGCCTTGGTTGTTAACCTCCCTGGTATAAAACCGAATTGATTTCCTGATACACTTGTTTCATGCCTTAGTCATTGCTCAATTACTCTCTCCCAGAGCTTCATAGTATGGTTCATAAGTTTGATCCCTCGATAGTTCACACAATTTGAAATGTCTTATTTGTTCGTGTAAATAGGTACCCCAATACTTTCTTCATTCGTCTGACATTTTTTTGTTCTCAACACCTTGTTGAACAACTTGGTCATCCAGTCAATGCCAATTTCCCTGATGCACTTCCAAACCTCTATAATGATACCATCTGGTCTTAAAAGTCTTTCTTATCTTCATCCTTTTCAAAGCTTCTTTCACTACCGATATCCTAATCCTGCGAATGTATCTATGACCTTGGCCATCATTTATGCCAATGGTTCCTTCTACCACTATGTTCCTATTGTGTTTGTCATTTAATAATTTTTAAAAAATAAACTCTTCACCTTTCGTTGACTTCTTTATTCTTCACCAAGACCCTTTGATCCTCACTCTTAATGCATTTAATATGGTCTAGAACCTTAAACTTTTTCTCTCTCATTTTTGCTAATTTGGAGACATCTTTTTTACTTTTTCTTGTTTTCAGTTTACTATATAAATTATCATATGCATTAAGTTTAGCCAAAAATAGAGAAATCGATATCCTTGCCTTTATCGTAAAAATGTTTTCTAGCCTGATTTTCTTGTTACGAAGCCGGCGAATTAATAAAATACAATTAATTCTGCCAAAACACCCCCACAAATTAAAGAGAGAAACTATCTCAAATTTTAAGTTTTAGAGAGAATATTAAATATTTAGAGAGAAACTATATCTAATTTTAGAGAGAGAAACTACCTGAAAATTTTACTGAGAGAAACCATCTCAAAATTTTGTTAGAGAAACTATCTCAAATTTGAATTTTTAGAGAGAAAGTATCTTAAAATTTTAGAGAGAGACTACATCAAATTTTAGAGAAAGAAAGTGCCTAAAAGTTTTAGAGAGAAACAATCTCAAAAATTTTAGAGAGAAATTATCTCAAATTTTAAGGTTTAGAGAGAGAAAGTATATGAAAATTTTTAGAAAGAGAAACTATCTCAAAATTGTTAGAGAGAAACTATCTCAAATTTTAAGTTTTAAAGATGAACTATCCCAAAATATTTAGAGAGAGAAATTGTCAAATGTAAGTTTCAGAGAGAAAAAATCTTAGAATTTTAGAGAGAGAAATCATATCAAAATTTAGAGAGAGAAACTATCTCAAATAGGCGATTACATGAGAGAGAGTAGACTTAAGTGGGCTGGCCATGTATTGCCTTGATCCAATACAATACCTGTTAGGAGGTGCGAGGTAGTTCAAGTGGGGAGATTGAAAAGGTCAAAGGATAGGCCCAAAAGGACGTGGTTGGAAGTAGTTGGAAAAGATATGGGGACTTATGGTCTCATTGAGGGTATGACCTTAAATAGAGCAGAATGGTGGACCAGGATTCGTGTAGATGACCCTAGTTAATTGGGAAAAGGCTATGATGATGATGTTAGAGAGAGAAAGTACCTGAATTTTTTTAAAGCAAGTATCTCAAATTTTAAGTTTTAGAGATGGAAAGTACCTGAAAAGTTTTAGAGAGTGGCTACATCAAAATTTTTAGAGAGAGAAACTATCTCAAAGTTTAAGTTTTAGAGAGAAGCTATCTAAAAATTTTTAGAGAGGGAAACTCTAGCAAATTTTAAGTTTTAGAGAGGGAAAGTACCTGAAAACTTTTAGAGAAAAAACTGTCTCAAAATTTTTTAGAGAAACTATCTCAAATTTTAATTTTTAGAGAGAGTATTTTAAAACTTTAGAGAGAGAAACTATATCAAAATTTAGAGAGAGAAACTATCTGAAATTTTTTGAAGGAGAAACATCTCAAAATTTGTAGTTTTAGAGAGACAGTATCTTAAATTTTTAGAGAGAGAAACTATCTCAAAATGTTAGAGAAACTATCTTGAAATTTTTAGAGAAACAATTTCAAATTTAACAAAAATAATGACATTGTAATAAATAATACAACCAAAAGCATTTCACAAAAAAAATAAAAAAGAAAAACGCTATGAAAATGTTATGTATCCATTTACCATCCAAACAGTAGAAATTTATTTTCCAGGAAATACTTTTCTCAAGATATATATTTCATAGGAAATAGATTTTCTAAGACAATGTATTTCCAGATGTCCAAACGACCCCTTAGAGTCTCACCGGATCTTGTCTTCTTGCTCCATTGAGGCTTTTAACCCCTTCAACTCATAATTTATCAGTCATTACGTTTTGGGAGCCGGTTCTCTCAATGAACCAACCGGCGATCAAAAGACTATCGACCCTTTCATCTAATTGCCATGAGTTTTGAATCACGAGCTTTTGAAAGCTCTTCTTTGTAACGTGCCTTATACTCGAGCTGTATTGAGGTTGTCACGGGCAGAAATGAATTTTAGGTGCTGGTTCCTTATGGATTAACCATACTATAAGTCTATAATCCTCTTTAATTGAATTTTTGTTTAGGTGTCACAAAACACACCCAAACATCTCCCAAAAGGTTGGATCAAGATCCAAAAGTTTGGGACCAAGATCCCCAAACTTCTGAGCAAGAGAAAAATCTTGCTCAGAAGCCGTTGAGTTCTTTGTAGGGTTAGACATAGCTATAAATTATCAGGCGGCATTTACTCACAGGAGCCGTTGCTTCAAGGAAGATTGGTTGCTCTTAGTGAACTTTGAAAATTTGTTTTTTTCCTCTCAATAATGAAGTCTCGTATATTTCATAACATGATTTTTTATTTTTACATTTATTGTTTTTAATCTTTACGAAGGCGTTTCAACTAGGAAACAACTTCATAGTCATTGTTCAAGTAAAATTCGAAACAGAAATGGGTTTTCGACTAGAAATACGGTAACTTAAAATTTGGATAATCTGCTCTTCAAATGACTAATAAATCTCATCAGTTGTACATCTGGAGAAAAAGGTCCCTCCCACATTCTGCAGCTCTTTTTAGTCAACACATGTATAGATTTAACTGTTCCAACTGGACTTTGTGTATGGGCCAGTTATATGCTTGCTTGACCTCTTAACGATTTGTCAGAATCTAAACAGCTGCTATTGTGTTCCTTCATAGTGGTTTCTAATAAAAACATAATTTGAAATTTTATATTAGATCACAACTTAAAGTATGATTTTAGAGGCTGCATGATGTAGGAAATTCATTGTGGCCTTAACATAGTATTGACACTGATCTATTGTTCAGACCTTATACAGGGAGCTGGTCCTATGCTTTCTTTCAAGGGAAAAAGCCTCTTATCATGGAATAGCTATGATAACTTCATTGTGGATGACGAGGAGCATTTGAACCAGGAGGTAATTGTTGGTTTAGGTTTCACTTATCATTTGCTTTTAACTTAAGTAAGAAAACAAATAAAAGTATGCATATAGATATAGATAAATCAAGTTTATGGTTTTGCTTAGGCAAATGCCAGAAACTTGTTTTGCCTTATGTCATTAGTTATTTCTTGATTAGGCAAGGGACCCAAACCTGCTCTAAATCAGTCTCCTCCATTCCAAAAATAGTTTCATGTAAAAAAAGATTTCATTTGGAGCTAAAAAATGCTTCAAATCCATAATCTCCCTTAAAAAAGATCTGGATTCTCCATTTGGATAGGCAGTGGATCAGGGCGATTTGAAGTTTTTTTGGAGCTCTAAATCAAATCTTATTTGGAGGAAATTGGTTTTGGAGCCTTTTTGGGTCCCTCCACCCAATCCAAAAATGGTGTGTTTGTTGTCTTATGTTTGAGAAATTGGAAACAATTTTTCCCTCTAAAAAGCAAGAACATGGAAACTTTTACTCCTAAAATTTAAAATGACAGTTTTTATGGTCATGTTGCATTTAACATCTAATTTAAGATGATAACAACACACCTCCCCCCTTCCCCCCTCCCAACTAATTTAAGGTAGATGTCAGTATCCATATCATATTAATATTCCTCTTTCAAGCTAGAAATGAATGAAGAAAATCAAATAATCAGATAATCTTTGGTTTTAGTTCTCTCCCTTATCCTTTAAATATTTTGGTTTATTATTTATTTTGTTAAGTTTAATTAATATTTTTGCTTCTCCGACTTTTTGTTTCTCTTCATAGTTTTTTCTGTTTCTGGGGTGTTTGGTATCTTTTGGTCATAGTTCTATGGGTTTTCTCTATTTAATTATTTTTAGGAAATTATGTCCACCTTTACTTTGGGCATAAACAATTTAGACGTCCATCACAATAGGAGGAACACTACAAATGAGCAATGGAAGGCAATTTGTGAATATTTAGGGGCCAATCCTCTAACTTGGGCCCAATACAAGTTGTTGAAAGCCCCTTCGGAGTACCATTTCAGAAATTTTTAAGTTGAAATAGGAACTTAAAATTATTTCAGCTCTAGCATCGAGACTAAAAGATGGTGCCCCAAACTTGATATTGCTCTCACAAATTTGATATTGCCTTGCAAATTGGGTCTTGAAATGTGAGCATGAAGGCATGCGCCTGACAGAGAACTTGATCAAATTTAAAGGAAAAAAAATTTGATGAGAGGATGAAGCTACCTGAAAATAAGACTCCAGACTTTCCTAGTGAATTGTTGTGAGCTTTTGAAAACTGCCTCAGGTTTTGACACTTCAAATTATATTGGGAAAGTAGTTCTGCAGATTGCAAGGCTATTGAGATGACCTTGCCTGAGATACATTGGATCACTGACAAGTACCTCCTGAAGACATTTAATTTGGATGAATCTAGTTTATTTTGGACTACGGCACCAGATCATACAGTAGCATCTCAACAAATTTAGGGAATCATGGCCGTTGTCCAGTTGACCATGGCATTGGTAGCAGCAAATCCTGATGGTTAGAAAAGGTGGATTTATTTTTTACTTCTCGTTCCAACACACCTTGATACTTCAAGAAGAAAAGGGCTGAGCAATTGGGCTTTAATGATTACGGTCATAATAAAAAGGCTTGGATAACTATGCTTTTTTTCCAAGAATGGATAAGCAAAATCAATGACAAAATGAAAGAATGGGAAAGGAGACTTCTATTGTTATTGGATGATGTCACATGTCATATTCTTGGTGGCATGCTGCCTGGTAATGTTAAGATACTGCTCCTCCCATAAGACAATACTCCAAAGATCCAGCCCATGGATGTGTGCATTATTACCTCATCCAAGTGCCACTGTTGTTGGTTCCAACTACAACATGCATTGGGTAGGGATGAAGGTGGAGACTCAAATGATGAAGGTGGAGACTCAAATATTTATAATACTTACCAACTTTAAGCCAAGCAGAGATCAAAATTAGCTAGGCATGAAAAGATACTATCTCCCTTTAGAATGCAAAGATATTATCTCCCTGTAGAGATGATGGTTAGCCTCTATTGCCACAAGATATTCATGATGTGGTATGACAAGTGTGGATACATGGATGAGTGCAGAAAGGTCTAATATTCTGTAGCTCTTTGAGTTGAAGAACAAGAAGTTAAAATGAGCAACTGGAATGCATGGTTTAGAGAAGACCTAATGTCTATTGAGATACTCATGAGGGTGCACTGATGAGGAACTTTGAGTGGTTGGCCGAAACAAAATGATGAAGATAATTCAGATGGAACAGATCAATCAGGGCAATATCTGACCACAAGAGACATTGTTATTGTGGATGATTGTGGAAACACACCACATAGAGATCACTTTGAAGGCTCGGGGTAATATATTGTTGGGTCTTGTCACCTTTAAAAGCCTAAACTCTTGTATTGCCCTTGTGGGCACCCATCTAATTAATGTAATAAAAGAGAGATCCTAATTTTTGCAGGGATATGAAATGGTTCGTGTGGGACCAAGATTTTCCATGGATTAAAGAGGCCATTAGAGCAGGTTCTATGGATGAATGAGGTCATAAGAGCAGCATGGCATGAGTGCCTTTGCACTTACCCTAGGTTTGGCATATAGGCCATTGAGTCTTTAAGTTGTAAAAGCCAGAGACTGTGGGCTCTAGAGGGGCAAGAGGTCCTATACACTGTGACTATTGGGGGTTAGTGGGTTATCCTTTGTCAAGGTCAGAGTTGTGGCCCATGGTAGGTTGAAAAAGGAGAAATGTGTTCTCTTATGTGAGGATTGGATGCTTGTCGGGGCAAGGGCCAACTCCTTAATATTACCACCCCACTAGATGCATGCGTGATAGCTGCATCTTTGGGGAAGGAACATTTGCGGCCTTCATGTGCATGTGCTGAGAGAGGACCTCTGAACCAGAGCCTGTCTGAGGGTGAAATGACTTGTCCTTGGGGGGCACGTATAATCCTCAGCAGTGTTGCAATCTGTCGACTTATTCACTAGCTTTGATAGGCCTAATTATGGGTCATGGGTCCTATTAGTTTAAGAGGATAAACCTTGACTGCAATGGCCAACATAAGTGGGGTGCCATGTTGATGTGTTACTGTTACTGCTACTGCAATTACCAACATAAGTGGGGTGCTTTGAGATATTAGAGGTCCCTAAATGGAGTTTTTTTAAATGACTTTTGCTTGATTCACGGTGTGCCATTGATGATGGGTGATTTTGTGCAGTTACTATGTCCCATGAGGTGATATGGGGCAATACTCATGGTATGTTATTTGCTTTTTATTTTTTTTGTTAGTAATTTAATTTTTACTGGCATTGTATGGACGTTGCAGCGCAAGTTCTTGGGCATTGTTCTTGATTTCAAGTGGAAGGCTCTAAAAGGGCAAGGGAAAAGCCCGGAAGGACATGGATAGAATTAGTGAGAAAAGATATTATAACTATTGGTCTTACTGAGGGTATTGCCCTTGATGGAGAAGAATGGAAGAATTAGGACAAGGCTTGGATGATGATGATGATGATGATGATGATTTTAGTTTGTAACTGATGTACAAAAGTGAAAAGCTGATGTACAAAGTATGGAGTGGCTACTGTAAATGGGCATACCTGTATGAAAAGTGTTTGGAAAAAAATTTTTTAAAGGGAAAATTGCTTAAACCCCCCAAATATGGACTTTCTAGGTACTTTACCCCCAGCCCAACATTTTCTAACATATTTTCCCCAAAACCAACTATTCTAGCTAATACCGCCCCAATACAAACAATTCACTTTTTTTGATGGAAATACCCTTCCCTTACATAACAAATTATTTTCGCTGGAGAGGTCGGTCCGACGTTTAGAAGAGGCGGTCCAGCGTTTCATTGTGATGGTCCGAGGATTGGAGAAATGGGCAGTTCGGCGTTTTGAAATAGCGGTCCAGCATTTTGAAGGGGCAATCCGGCATTTTAAAGTGGCGGTATGACATTTTGAAGGGGCAGTCCGGCTTTTTAAAGTGGCTGTCGGAGTCTGGCGTTGTACAAGTGCGGTCCAGCGTTTCCTTTTATTGGGATCCAAAAGTGATTTGTTATGTTCGAGAAGGATATTTTCATCAAAAAAAAATGAACTTTTTGTATTGTGGGGGTATTAGCTAAAAAAGTTGGTTTTGGGGCAAAATATGTTGAGAAAAGTTAGGCTAGGGTAAAGTGCCTACAAAGTCCATATTTGGGGGTTTTAAGCAATTTTCCTTTTTTTAAATGCAGCATATTGAAGATGAACTGAGGAGGGAGTAAACTGAGAAAGATGCACAAAAAAAACTCTTTTGACTACATTGTTAGAGATTTTTGGATGGGAATTGTTGTTGCCCTCTCTTTTATAGTATATGCTAAAAATTTTCCCTCTAATCTACATGGGTCTTTTTGTAATTTTAGTATTGAGTGTGTGATATGAATGATTATTAGTTTTTTGTATGCGAACCAATATTCAGAAAAAAATTGTATCAAATTGAAGAGGATATCTATTTTGACAGGATTTGTTTTGAAAGGTAATATTATTATATAGATTACTTTTCCCATTGGTATCATATAATGAATGTTTGCAACGAGTGAAAATATTGAAGTCTTTATTATTTTGTTTCGAACCTCTGATGCAGGCACATTTGGGCTTATAAGTCATTAGCCAATATCCACATTCATGTTTTCATTCTTTTTAATTTTTTTCTTTTGCCAGTCAATCTTGTTATTTATGAGAGATATATGACTTAATTTCCTTCCGGGTGATTCGATGCGACTGTTCAATGGTTCTTGTAACTGTTTCAAATAAACAAATTTTTACAATCAGCGGGGTTCAATGCATCTTGTTTTTCTTTTGTTCAATTTGAATGTGGGTTTTTTTTGCTTTTTCTGTTCTCATTTAGTTTCTCTTTCGCTTGGTGCAGGCATCATTTCTATCTATTGATCTTCACAAGCTTGCAACAAAGCTTGCAAATATAAATCTTTCAAAAAGGATCTTCATTGAAGAAGACCTACTCCCTGAAGAACTGGTATGGCTGATAACTATTTATGATGTCTATAACCTGATAATGTGAACTCGTTCCAAAATGATATGCTGATGTCCTTCAATCTCAATGATTTAACAAGCTGGGGATTAAAATTTAAAACCTAAACCTATTATTGGGACCAACTCTGCCTTCTACTAAAATATGTTTGCAAAACAGTAGTGAACCTTTCTATGAGGTCACTAATGATTCTCATCATTCTTGATGAAAGATGAAGAGTATCCATGATGTGAATGGCAGTCCCTTGGCAATCCTCTCTAATCTATTGCTAGATTTTCTTCTAGTATAATGTTGCTTTAGAACATTTACCTATGTAAGGGTCCATGCATCACTTTTATTTATAATTTGTGGGTGGTATGTGTGTCTATTTCTTTCAACAGTGCGGGACTGAGAGGCAAGGAAGTACCACTCTGGGCATTGAGCATGTTAAGAGAGCTCTTGGAAAGGATGGGGGAAACGTTGGGTCTTCAGTAATGTTTCAAGGGAACTCGGATTTGGGGACTAAGAAACATAGTCAAAATCATCAGGATTTGGTTACTTCAATAAGTGAAGATTATTTAGAGAACTATTCCCAACCAACATTTTCTGGGATTGATGTGGCAGTTGATCATTTTCTTAGAGGTTCTGAACTTCCGCAAGAACCCAAACCAAATAAAACTCAAGAAGAGCAGACACCACGCGGGGTTGCTCTAGATGGGACAAACTCTGGCAAAAATAAGGGTTTTGAAGCTGCGGCAGCTGAAGTCGAACTTGATTTCCTTCTTGATACATTTGGTGAGACAAGACGTCTCGACAATTTTAGCATAGCAGAGGACCCTAAGTTGGCAATCGGAGCTTCCACGTCATTCAGTAAAAACCCGTTGGATTCTTTTGGTGCAGGGCCTTCAAGAACTACGAAAGGTTATACTAGTTTGCAAGCTCCCACTACTGTGATTGGCGCAAAAGCTGGAATTGCAAACCCTCTTAACAATAATAAGGATTTCAGTCCTTCAGACATGGAAGGTTCTAAGGTCTTGGATGATTTTGATGCATGGTTAGATTCTATGTAATCAAAATTTATCTTTTTAAATGTAATTTGAGTTTTCATGTGTAGGCATTCAGGCTGAACTGATTTGAATGGCTGATTGAATGCATATGATATTTATCTTTGTTTTTGTCGTTAAATTCTCTAGTGGATACGTGGTTGGGTGTGCATTACTAGAACATGCTGCCTTTTTTTCTCATTTATTTACTTTGTTTTTTCTTCCCTTTTTTTTTTCCCGACAAGTTGGAAGAAGCAGGTCCAATATCGACTTTTTTCAAAAAACTGATTCAAAGAGAGAGAGAGAGATGTTCTACCAAACATACCCGAGAGAGAGAGAGAGAGAGATGCTCTACCAAACATACCCATCGATAACCCTGCCCTGAATACATGTGTGCCCCATAAAACCAAGTGGCTCGTGATTTGATTGCACCTCTGAACCCCTCCCCCCCCCCCCCCCCCAGAAATGAATAATTGCACCTTTGAACCCCTTCAGAAATGAATAATTTTTAACACCACATTCTACCAAGTTTTAAATCAATCTCGTAATTTCAAATAAGGGAAAATTATGTACTCCACCGAGTTTCTTACACATGGGCCCTTCTAACATTTATTCACATCATAAATTTTGTTACTGGTTTCTTTGCATTAAACCTCTTGAATTTTTGAAGTTATTTCAGATGAGAGTACTCCTCTCAAGTCAACATAAAAACAGGGTTTTAAGGCCACTGCGATCTTTGGACATTACTTATAGAATAGGTTCGGAATATATTTTGACATTTGTTGCCAGGTTGAAGAGGTTACATCCCAGAAAAATGAGGATCCGAGTGAACGAAAGAATTCTTCCCTGGGAGCATAGAATCTTTTGATAAATTAATAGACTATGTTTGGAATATATTTATTCATTTATTTTGACATTTGTGGCTAGGTTGAAGAGGTTACATGCCGGAAATTTGAGGATCCGAGTGAACGAAAGAATTCTTTCCGGGGAGCATAGAATCTTTTGACAAACTAAAAACAGCGACCGGAAATTTTAGACCATCCATGACAGTGAAATTTTAGACCATCCATGGCAGTATCACTGGATTCGAGCCGCATTTTGAAATAAGATGTAAAGAAATTCACTAGTGCTCAACAGTTCATGGGATGATGGTTCGCTAAGATTCCCAGGCCAATATTGGACGAAACAAGGGAGTACTCGATCGCTTTAAAAGTAGCATTTTGATGTTTTTTTGGTATTTCTATTGGAATGGGTAAAGCTGGTCCACCTGCTTTAAAGCTGTAACCCCCCAAGTCATTGCGTTATATTTCTTCTTTTTCTATTTTAATCTTAGGAGTATCTATCTACAACAGTGAAGACTTTTCAATTTTCTAACGCCACCGACTACTCTACTTGGCATTGCTAATTCCTAATTGGAGTAGTAGGTGGGCTTACAATGTTGCCCATGCGGTTCCTTCCTTGTAACACACCGACTCTTGAGACCATAAAAAAAAACAGCCCAAAGGTTTTCTACTCCCACAGGGGTATGCTGTACAGTTACTCCATCGGGCATAGAAATACCGTTTAGATCTCAAAATTTGAGAACGTAATCTCTACAACCATAACTAATCTTACTAAAAAAAAATCCAAAATAAAGTTTCTATATGCTAGAAAAAAAAGCCTCAAGATTGAGATCGTTTAAGTTTTGCAGAGCTAGATCTAAGTGTTATAGAACTCAAACTTCAATTTTTTTTTCTTGAAAATAATTATCTGGTAGTTCTTATGTGGTTCCCAAAATTTAAGACCAAATTACTCTTTCTAAATGAGTATTTTGCACAAGGGAGTAGATACATAGAATGCTCTTACGAGATATATCATCATCAGAGCTTTTTTTTCAATTAATTTTATAAGATTCATGATGAGTTTTAGTAAAATTTTATCTTAATTGTCGGCCTAACACAACCCATATCTTTTACCAGGGAATGGGATAAATTAAAAAAAATTTAAGGTCATCACCCTTCTTAGACCCGAGAGCAGCGTACATAATCAACAAAATAATTTGTGAGAGAGAGATACATCTTATAAAAAACGAACAAAATGAAATAAAAGAGGAAAAGTCTGAGAGGGTTTAAAAGGGCCACGTGCAAATTGCGAAGAAACCAAAAGCTGTTTGCTTGTATACATTGTATGGCTGGAATTGCCGGACTTTAAGGCCCAAACCTGACCTCTTACCAGGCCTAGCTGGCCCTTAACAAGAGTTAAACAAAAAGCTGGACGGAAAGCAAAGTAATCAAAGTCATGGGGCTTTTCACTTTGATGACCTAAATTGTCTGTCTTTTATAATAAAAATCGTCATATAAAATCAAACGTACAGATTCAGTCTCTGTCTTTATATTTTGGTCGATGCTTAGGTCATTTTCACTAAATGGGGGAGACAAGCTGATAAATAACCATGACCCAAAATCAACACTAAAAAGAAAAGAAAAATCAACGACTCAAAATTTGCCCGCCCTTATATTAGAAGGCTCCTTTTTTTTTATTTGTTTATTTTTATTTTTCATTCTAACATATGAAACTAAAGGGCGAGGGCCCATGCTAACGATAACCCACCCACCTTCCCCATTTTATCCTCACAACTCATTTTACTCACAATGGGTACCGTTATATTGAATGGTTATTGTCCAATTTTTGAAGTATTGTAGTTCCTTGGTGGAGTTAAAGTCATGTTTTTTTATTTTTATTTTTTTACTATATTTTAACTAATTAAGGGTTTAAAAAACGGATAAGTGACCCAGATCGTACATCTGGATTTCTGATGAGGTTCGACAGATCAACCATCAAATTTCCAGAAATGGTCAACTAAAATTTTAAAAATTTGAAAAGATAAGACATAAGTTGGGCCAGTTCTGGGTAGTTCTCTGATAAAACCGACCAGAACAGAATGTGTCATGGGGAGAACCAGCCGGTTCTCTAAAGTTGGTTTTATCATAGAACTTGCCAGAATCTACCGTTTCGTGGGAAGAGCCGGCCACCCTCGACGATTCTCATTTTGTATTGGTATTTTTTTAAACCTCGGTTCTGATGAAAGATGAGCACGAATAAATACTAAATTGCATGTTGGTCGCAAACATCTAGTATATCCTTTTTCTCTTATAATGATTATATTATAAGTAAGCTTAGTCTCCTAATATAGAAATTAGGAAAAAAAGAAAAAAATGGACTTATAAATTTTAGGATGTTAGCAAGTCATTTGAATTTTGGACTGTTCATGAAACAAACTATTGGTGGGTAAAGTTAGGGAGCCTAACCAAGAGACCTATTTTCTTAGACACACCCTTTAATTCTTTAGGAACCTTGATGCCTCACTTAACTTGGAGCAAAAAGAAAAAGAAAACCCTCAAAGCAAAGAGCATAATAAAATGCTTGATTTTGTTGTGAATTATTGAAGCAAGACCTTTCTTGGGGTTTTATTTCAAATAAAACCAAAGAAAGACAAGAAAACGAAATTACATTTAAAGCACATTGGACTCGAGCAAAACAAGCCAGTCCAAGTGGCACGATGTAGGCTCAATCATCCCCCTTCAACTCACGTGATTCACGGATTCTTAGTCCTTGTTATTGAATCAATGGCCAAGACCCATCAAATATCGAGGGCCCTGTCTTATTATTTATCTCATCCCACTAGAATAAGTTTATGCGATGTTATAAAATTCTTATAATATGACGTACATATGGAATAGACATTTGGCATTGCTGCATAGCACATGCACCATTGATATGAGAGTTTTCGTATTTGAAAACCTTCTTCAAATGGATTTTGTTGGAGACTTGTATATATAAAACATTCATTCGAGACTTGTTATCTTTGTTTTGTAATGCAATATTTATTGATTAAAGATATTTTTCGTCATTAAAAAAGATGGAATAGATATTTTTATAAGATATTAATGACATTCTATTAGTGGTAAAAAAATAATCAATATTCAATATAGATGACGTTGGATGTAGATAATATCATTTTCTAATATAGTTCATAAACATTTTTTTTATAAAAAATATTATATTTTATTTTTGATTAATTGCTTAAAATGTTTCTAGATAAAAAATTACTATGTTGTGCATAGACATTAAATTTTTTTATTTTTTTTATTTTGAAACCTTAAGAAGAAAATACTCGTGTGGGAGTACCCTAACAAATCTGTTAATTCATATTCAAGTCCTTGGGGTGAAAGTAGAAGAGAAACCCATGTAATTTCTAAGTGAAAAATAAGGGGAGATGGGCATGTAGGCCAAGACTTGACTTTACGCAGAAAAAAGGCAACCAGAATTTCCTTAATTATTACTGTCAAGCACCCCGCTTTCTGCAGGGAATCGACTGATACTTTTCTGGAAATTCAAAATGAAATAAAAGAAATCAGGGAGGAAAGAAAAAAACAAAAACAAAAAGAAGAACCAAATTATACAAATCTTGCTTAACAATGGGAATATTTCTATGAATTGATAATAAAAAATTACAGAGCAACCAAATGATACATTTCTTCCTTTTACGATAGCAATTTTCGTTGCATATATACAAAAATCCTCCTCTACCACAAAAAAAAATACTCTCTCTTGCTCTATGTGCACACCTGCAATTTTTTTGAAGTCAATCAAGCAGCCTACCAAAATCAAAGCCAGTAAGCCAAATACTATTACCCTACGATCGATCTACCCTTCCGGTGAAAACGTTTTCGATCAGAGCCACAATGCACCCGCCTGCTTCAAGATGGGCACCAGCTCCCCGCTGATGTGCGCCGCCATCAACCGATCCAACCCTCCCACCAGCCTCCCCCCGATAAACACAGCCGGCAACTGAGTTCCTCCCCCCATCCTCCCCAACGCCTGCTCTGCCTCCTCCGCCTCCGCTCCCTCTTCTAATTCACAGACAGTTGGGTTCACTCCCAGCCCAAGCAAAAGCTTCTTCACAACATGGCACATACAGCAGGCTCTGCGCCCCAAAACCAACACACTGTTTTCTGACACCATCTTTCCAATATTTCCAGACGCCACCATCTCAGGCGGCTGCGTCTTCTGAATTGGTCCGAGTGGCTGAGCTCTTTGGCTTAGCATTTGTTGAGCGGTGGCGGTGGAGGTGGCGGTGGAGGCGAGATTGATGGATGTTTGTTGGTTGGTTGGGTTGGGTTGGGTTGCGGTGGTGAGTTTTGAGTTTCGGGATTGAATTTGTAGATTTATGGAGAGGGGTGGGAAGGGTTGAGCCCACGTCAACAACGGCAGTTACGGACGTGGGCCCCGCGTGGACGCGTCACGCGATGGAGGGTCGGCGTGTGAATGACGTCATCGGTGGATAGAGAGGAGTCGCATTTGCTGCTCTTGTCCTGGTGACGTGGATGACGCAGCCGTACTCGCATGTGCGCCCTGGAGCATTGGCCCACCCCTCTCCTTCTTGCCTATATCTTTTCCCTAAAAGACCTTTGTGCCCTCTCTTTTTTAGGCGTTGTTTTCTTCCTACTTTCTTTTGTATGGACGGAGTACGAAGAGGGAACTTATTTTTGACCGTTAATAGAGTGTATATTAATTTTTTATTCAAATTGATTATTGAGATGAAAAGAGCTTGCAAACCAAAATTTGGGTTATACAAAGACCAAAAACATGATTATCTAGAAGTGTAGCCTCAGTATATTATAATGATAGGATGATAAGATATCATTTCCCTTATATATAAATATGTAGACAATTTCTATGTGATATTGTGTTCCAAGAATTTGAATTTTAAAGAAATAGAGACTAGAAAGTTCCAAATCATAAGAAATCTTACAACTTGCTTGGGTGCAGAATTTTTCTGAAAAAAAATTGTTGACCAATTCTTTTGGTAACATTTGGTGGCAATTTTCCCCATCGCTTGAACCTTGACTTCAACTCAATGTTCGCAAAATCGAACCAAAACGGTTAACCGGTCATGAGGCTGAGAGTGGTTTGAACCGCAATCGGACTAACCAGTCAAGTAAATTATGTCAAAATCCCCAAAAATAATTTAAAAAAAATAGAAAAACTTAGATTAAGTATACACCATCATATTACATACATTTATCTTATAAAAAAAATTTGATACAACTTTTTATATAATTTAATATTTGAATATTATGAAAATATACAAGACAATTTATAATCTCACATAAATTCAATGGAAGAAGTTACAAAGTCCAACTAACAATTGATGATGCAACAATATGTGCTTCTATATTGTTTTAATGTGGAAAAACCCTTTAATATGGTTTAGTATTGGGTTTGAGAGCGTATTTTTTTGTAGCATGATGTTCCCAGCTTTTCTAATGGTTGTGAGTCAAGGTAGTAAGAAAGAGCTCCTCATTTACTTAGTAACTTGGTTATCAAATGCAGAGTGTAGGTCAAGGTGTTAAGTGCTACTTCAAATGGCCAAATCGCAAATTTTATAAAAATATGGCCAAGTCGATTTTCAAATGCCTAAATCAATTTTGAAATGACCAAATAGATTTTGAAATGGCCAAACCTCACTTACTCAGTAACCTTTTGAGTTGGGTTTTAACATGAAATTTTTTTTTTTATGTAAGATGGCAACTTTAAAATGTAGAATTAAGATGCATATTTAAAATAAAAAAAAAGAAAAGAAAAGCAAGTTAAGTTTTATCCATTTCAGCATGTGGAAACATGAGAGATGAGTAAAACACTTTTTAGTTTCTACCTCTTTTCTTCATAGAGGCTAATAAACAGATTTAATGAGCATGAAGTTGCAACAAATAATAGATAGCTTGTAACAAATAAAAAAACAAATTAGAAGAAAATGTCACAGCTAAACAAGAAGTTGAGAACACAAAAATCAATAACATACACCAAAAATAATATTAAAAATAAATAAATTTTTTCTCATATTCATCACAAAAGAATATTTTTACAAAAAAATATATAAAACATTAAAAACAATCCAACAAGCTCACCAAAAATGTATAACATTAAAAAGAAACAATTTTTTCCCTCATATTCATCACAAATAAACATATTTTTGTAGAAAAATATATAACATTAAAAAAAATCCAACAAGCTCATAAAAAATTTATAAATTTAGAAAAAAAAGAATATCTTTTTTTTTTTTCTCATATTCATCACAAATTTCATATGTTTATAAAACAAAAAGTAATTTTATTTTAAAAAAATTGTTTTAAGAACCCTAAAATCGAGCCAAAGAATACATAAACTTTAGAGTCGAAATCAACCCCAAATCTTTCATTTTTTGGACAAATTGATATGGGGATATGATAGATACTTCAATTAATATTCAAATGCACCAAATTTCATGAAAACTTATTCACTATTGAGATTTTTATTCAGAAAATAGCAAATTTTTTACTTCACGAAAATTTCAAGAAAAAACGCAGCAAAAAAAAAAATCGATAGAAAAAATTTTAGTCAATAGTAAATCAAAATAACTAGTTTATTTGATAGATAAGGACTTTACGATCAAACTTCAGCGATTAATTCAATAAAAATCGATCACTTGATCGATCAGAAATCAATTTTTTTGGATAAAAACAGTTCTTCGAGCAGCTGTACTTCGGGCCCAAAAAAAACCTCAAATCTTCATCGTTTTGGGAAAAATTAAATATGTAAACATTGAATCCTTCAGCAATCAATCAAAGCCCTCCATTTATATGAAAATCTATGAGGTATTAAAGCTGCATTGGATAGAATGGCGGAAATTTCTAATTTTTAAAAATCCCCATTTCAATCCACCAATAGCTCTTTGTTTTTCGACTTTTGATTCAATAATAGATGATCTATAGAAACTTTACAGTGTATAACATCAATATTTGACTGAAAAAACCAAAAAAAAACTACAAAATGGAAGAGAAAAATGCTGCAAAATATTGATCTATGAAAATAACGGGCATGTGTCAAATAACGACAATTATTTTATGTATTATAACGGCATTATAACGCACGAAAACAACAGTAAAACGGACCGGTTAGGAAAACCGGCCGGTTTTGAAGAAAAATCGCCGGTTCAACATTGAACACCGGTTTTTTGCCCTGACTTGTTTTGGAGAGTTTCCTCTTACCATGTGTAACTGGAATTGCCACCCCATCGGTAGCGATCTAACTCGTCGGTTTTGCGAACACTGCTTCAACTAGAGTATAAAATCTTATTTTTGTGAGAAAGATACATTCAATGAATGTTTAACAGATTACTCATTTTTTTCTACTTCATTGCAAAGTTCTCATTGGAAAATATAAAATCCTGAATCAAGATAAATAGGTGAAATACATATTTTTAAAAGAGGTCCTCCGCAAGAGGCACTACTCTATAACAAATATGGTGCATATGGAATATCTATAAAAGACAATGGTATTCCGCCGCAACCATCGATTTAATGGATTGTGTAATCTCCCCCGGACCCACGTCAGCGGACCAATTCAATTCAAGTCCTGTTGCTCTCTCGATGACGTCACAAAAACGTCATTCAAGACATGGATCGACGTCTCCCCACCACGTGGCACGCGCTGAGGTCGGCCCCATCCCCAAATCCACCGGCTCCCCTCCAAACTGCCATGCATGACGATGCACCAACGTCTCCTTATATCCGACGGATCAATTTGAGCCACGTGGAGGTCGGTGGAGGCCCCGCCGCCGCAAAAATGATCGAGGCACCACACGCAAAAGTCGCTTCTCCTTCCCACTAAAGAAAATAAAAACAGAGTCAAAATCACAACCCCAACGCTCCTGGTGATGTCACACGCGACCTCACTCTCTACACGTGTGGCCTCACACGCTTTGTTCGCACGTAATCGACCGGTGCGAGTACATTACCAGAGGTGGTGCTTTGTACGTGGTTCGTATCATCTTCAGATTTTCGGGAGACCTCACAGGTGTGGGGGCCACACGCTCAAAGGACTACCCATGTGCGAATGTGTGCTCTAATTGAGGTTTGGCCACGCTCATTTGTCTTTCCCTTTAGGGATCTTTACACTATTTTAGAGCGGTTCTCCTGGTCCTTTAGATATCTATTTTTTAGCCTTAATATCTATTTCCCTATAAAACTCCTCATTATTAAATATGGAAGTGTTATAGCACTAGAAAACATGGTTTCTTAAACCATATCTCTCGGAAATCAAATCAAATCAAATACAATACGTCTTTATGGTTTCAGAAAGTGTTTAAATAAGTCACGGTTTTGAATCGAGGTTTCTAAAACTACAGAATTGCCAGATTCTTTTCATTTCTTATTTTCTTTTTATCATTCAAATATTGCTTTGAAACGCATATCGCTCGAATCAAATCAGGTGAATCAGAATCGATCCAATGGCAATTGGCCGAATCTTAGACATTGGTTTTAGGCGTGTCATTTTTCAAAGTCGTCGCCCATGGGCAATGTGGTATAATATTTATATCCTACGTCAATGTCCTATAATGACTTTCTACCTTTTGTTATTCTGAACGGACGGTAGATATGAAAGGCACGGTTTGCCGTCTATCACTAGTGATAACGTATACTGCTACGCAAGATGTATTTACCGTGATTTTCTCGCCATACAACGTACGGTTTAGAACTCTAGCACAATACCTATTAAGGAAAATTACAAATAACACCCCATGTTACTTATCCACAACAAAACATTTTTTCCATTTTTTACTTCAAATTTAACTTTTCTAATACATACCCCCAAGTAAAAAAAATTATATTTTTTCGACGAAAATGCCTGCAACGCCGGATCATCCCCATTTTGTGCCTGACCGCGTACCCATAGTGCCGGACCGCCCCTGCTTTGTGTCGGACCACATGCTTTCCAGAAGCCCAAAATGCCAGGCCACATGCCCAAAGTGCCGGACCGCCCCCATTTTGTGCCAAACCACACGCTTTTCAGAAGCAAAGTGTCGAACCACCCCCATTTTTGTGCTGGATGCATGTATTTTGGTCTTCATTTGACATTTTTTATGACTCGGGGGTATTCGCTAGGACAGGTAAATTTGGTATAAAGACTTTTTTTTTTTTGTTGGGGGTAAGTTGCTGCAAGTATAGTCTAGCTGTTATTTGTAATTTTCCCTAAATATTGTCCCGGAAGAATGCTATTGTGAATATTGGATTAGGGTTGGATAGACAATTAAAACTAGTGAGAGTATTTGCCGAGGCAAATTGGTAGGATTGGATTCTAGAAAAAAATAAAAGAAATAGAAAT